TTTTCATCTGCAGCTGCAACACACACACACACACACACACACGCACACTGATTTACATGTAAATGAGGTCATCCCAAAGGCTTCTATTAAATAGTGTGTGCTGTTTTTATGTGAATCAGTATACAGTGATAAGCGTTCAAACAGCAGTGTGCTGGATTGTTCTTTGTTTGTTTCGGTTCTCGTCGCAGTTATTGTGCGTTTTCATTATATTATGTTACGTGTAATAGTGTTGTCAGTCTGATCAGATGAGTCCTGACACGCTCAGATCAGCTGATGTCACTTCCTGTCCATCATCACGCAGAAGCTCCGGTCGAGTCCGCTGACCCGCGGAGAGCTGCACTCGTTTAGTAATTAGCCGACTGACGGCCTCTTAATGACAGCACGTGTGAAAGAGCAATTAATGTCATGACTGATCATCATCATCATCATCATGAGCGCTGCTATCAGAGACACAGACTGAAGAACAGAGACAAACAGTACAGTGTTGTTGACCCTTCGGTAAGCCCCGCCCCTAAATAAACTCCGCCCCTGAATAAGCCCCGCCCCAGCTTTATAGAGCATCCGATAGGAATGAGTGACATTCAGTGATTTCTGTGTTCTGATTGGCGGCGGTGACGTCATGTGACTGATCATGTGACTGATCTCGCTCTGTTCTAACACTGATCTACATAATGACTGGATCGCTCATTGCGTTCTAAACTGTGAAGCGGTGACGTTACCAGAAGCTATTCCCTACTGGCAGAGAGCATCACTAGCTATGTTTCCATCTCCCTCTCTTTATGCTCATTTTAAAGTATCGCATCAGAAACGAGTGATGGAAACGCCAAATTTCTAAAAGAAATCCCTTAATTCGCAAAACAGTTTTTATGCTCGCTTGAGGTGGTTTTTGTCTTGTGCGAAAAGGGGTTCATGCGAATAACAGTAGATGGAAACACATTTGCCGAATAAATTTTGCATGACCATTCAAAAAATGTAACTGCATGATGGGATGGGATAACTTGACTAACCAGCGGACCGATCTCGTTCCACAGCATGTGAAATGTTGTTTTGGTCGTTCTGAAATGCCTGAGCAAAGTCTGTCTGATTTAAAAGAGTGCTGAGGGAATTATACAAATGAATATACGAATGAGTTGATAATATAAATGTACCTTGGAAGGTTCTAACTATCTTCAGAAAAGATTCAATGCCGTTTTGTTTTCATCTTCGCTCCATGTAATACCTAATAAAGCAATGCTGCTGTGTCCACAGAGGTTACGGTAAACAGCTGTAATTCTGCTGCTCCAGAAGCGCCACCTGCTGTCAGAGAGTGGAATTACAGAGACTCACATTC